CCACGGTAAGCGGCACCCTTGCGGAGCCATCCCTTCGACCAGTCCGCCTTGAGATCCGTAGCCTTGTTGGCATCCTCGAGAGCCTTCTCGTATTGGGATTGCGCGGAGTAGACAGCCGAACGGTTGGAGTAGAGAATGTGGTTTGAGGGCTCGATTTCGATAGCTTGGGTGAACTTTTCACTATAGGCCAATCAGCTGCGGTTCATGGCTTCGATCCTCCCAGACCTTTTTGCAAGCGGGGTAAACCGGGGGAGAAAGATACATACACCGCAGTAGCATAGTCCTTTGCGGAGAAGGCCTTGTTGCCTTCAGCTTTCAGAGCGTCAGCCATGCTGTATAACTTCCAAGGGGTATATGATGTAGAAGCAAAAGGATGGAAGTGTGGTGGTGAGTTGGGAAATAAGTGAGAGACGGGGGCAGCTGGACCGGGTAGATCAGTTAAACCGGAGCTTCTTCTCTTTTGCCGGGAGCTTCTCGAAATTTCCGAGAGACAGGGTTCCAGCCTGAGGCCACAGCACAGATCATGAGGCAGTAAGGCTGCAAGGCTACAAGGCAGACACAGGCTGTCAAAGCTAGGACTGGCCCTAAACCCTTCCGGGCCAAAGTGACTCCCCCGCTAAACCCAAAGAGAAAGAAAAGCCGCCAAAAACATCTTCTTTTCGGCCTGCGAAACTCGATTCTCCCTCTCGACGACCGTCAACTTTGCGCCTGCTTTCCCTGCCAACTCCCCGGGCATTGCTTTGTCCCGGCTACTGCAGCGACCGTCCGACCTGGGATGCATTCTTGATCATGCCCCTTCACGAGCCCGTCCGGTGATAGTTTCCTGTTAACGACTCCACTACAATCGTCGTCGTGAAAATGGCCTCCGCGGGGCCGTCAGGCAGTTCGGTCAACGAACTGGCCTCTCGACTTTACGACGCCTGTGTCAACCAGTTCCCTTCCGATCATCTGTTCTATCAGCAAGATCTTTTGGGTCTTAACATTGTCCCCAAGAATGACCTCGCCCTTCTCTTGAGCTGCGCCCAGTCGCTCGTCAACCAGAAGCTCTTTCGGCTTCTCCAGGGCAAAAATGACCGCTTAGCCTGGAAGATTATTTCGCGGGATGATGCTGAAAAGTATGACTATTTTTCTCGTTGAGAACTTGACATAGGAACTCCCCCCACTAACCTCCCTGCTTAGACTACGAGACCTAAGCCCCGACGAGAGTTTAGTCTACAATGTCATCCATTCGACAGGACGGTCCGGTATCTGGGTCCGCGCAATTGGCAACCGCACCAACCTCCACAAATCCATTCTCGATCGCTGCCTCAAGTCCCTGGAAACGAAAAGCTACATCAAAAGCGTTCACAATGTCAAATTCCCCAGCCGGAAGATGTACATGTTGGCGAACCTCGCCCCAAGTGAAGACGTGACTGGAGGAGCCTGGTTTACCGACGGAGTGTTGGACGAGAACTTCATCAACAGCGTCGCCGGCTTTATCGAGTACTCCGTGAGCCGGAAGAGTTGGTACGAGGCCCCCTCCTCGGACGGTCCTCGAAACAAGCGCATGAAGACCGCGGACGGAGGTGTAGCTGTCAAGCAAGAAGGCGCTCCAAAGGAGTACCTCCCCTTCCCAGCCGGGTATCAGGGCTACCCCACCATACCTCAATTAACAGCCGCCGTGAACGAGAGTGGCATCACACCGGTCCGCCTGGGCGAAGAGAGTATCACTCAGCTCCTAGAGATGCTCTGCTACGACAACAAGCTCGTTTCTCTGAACAACGGCGAATTCTACAAATCCGTCAAGAACCCCGAACAAGTCAAATCCCAACAAGCGCGCAAGCCCCGGACCGACGACTCAGGCATCGACGACAGGCTAGTCAAGAACGGCATGACCGAAGCACCCTGCGGCAACTGTCCGGTTTTCAAGCTCTGCGCTCCCGGCGGAGCTGTCAGTCCCGAGAGCTGCGAATACTTTGACCCCTGGCTAGAAAAGGCCCTCGGATTTTGATCCTCCTTTATTATCTACCTCACACATCATTTTCACCTCATACTTATATCACACACACAACAATTCCTGTATACAATTAGCGCAGCATGCGCCAGATGATGTTTGTTTGCATAGCGATGGCGTTCACGTCTGATATTGGGATCGGCCATGGAACAGCGGTCTTCTTTTCTCAATGTGGGCAACTAAAAACAAAAGAATTTCTATAGGGCTTTTATTATATCTTTTCTGGAAAAGAAAAAAGGATGGAAAAGCGAAGGGCTGCGGTGGGAAGGGATTGATGATTGGATGGATGGATGTCGGTTTGACAACTGCCTGATGCTACTTATTAGCTATTCACTATACTACTAACTAGTATTTTGGGTTTTTGTTGGCTGGATTGTCCATTGTAGTATATAGTACTATCGGTTGTTTGGATGGGCTGCTGTGGTTCATCAGTGGATGAAAGAATTACTATCACAATTACTACTACCTGCTTGCTCGCGTTTGGTAAACTACTACTAGTAATATAAGACTGACTAAGAAGTCGAATGCATCCTGGATTGATTCGAACTGCAAAGATAAACGCCGTCATAACATCCTATATAGTCATTATAATAATACACTCACAGAGACAGAAGGGAAAGGGGGGTATAACTATATCAACCAAACTAAGCCTGCAATTTCGCTGAACACTGCGGACAGAACCACTTCCCAACAGGTTCTCTCGTCAAACCCACACACTTCCAATGAAACCACTCAAACTCGCAATTGTCGTTATCGCAAGCAACCATATCTCCATGGCTGACACTGCGACACGTACAATACACCTTGGTATCTTCATTGCCTTCGTCTTCTTCCTCGTCTTCCATGTCTTCGTCTCTTCTACCTTCGTCGGCGTTCTCGGAATCCGAGATATCGGCACTGCTGAGCATGGAGTCGTCCTCGTCTTCGTCGCCTCCGGCAGCGGATGGTGATTGTTTTGTCCCGCTGACTTTGAGACGGCCGCTTGCGCTGGAGGATCGTTTCGTATGCTTTCCGTTGAGCCCGGAGGCTTTGATCTTCTTCAGTTGTTGGTGCGGGGCCACTTTCTTGGTTACGGCTTTCTTGGTGGAGGCTGTTGAGCGCGGTCCTGCGCTGCCGGCTCGGCTTGATGCAGGAGTTCCGGCTTTGGGTGTACCGGGGCCGAGAGATGATTGTCGGAGGTTGGACGAGGCCGCGGGGAGTGTTCCGAGTGAAGCGTTGAGGCGCCGGCGCTTGTTTTCCACTGCGCCGGCGGAGGACTCTCGTTGTTGTCGTTGGAAGTGGATCGTTCCTGAGGGTGTTGCTGGGGCGGAGCTTCGCGCAGCAGTCGGCGAGTTCAAGGCGAGTGCGGCGGCGTTTCGGCCCAGGGAGTTGAGTTTCTGGGTGGCGCCTAATATGACATTGGCGTTCGCGGAGGTGCCATTGAGGGGGGAGGGAAAAGAGGAGTTTTCGACGGTGGAATCGGGGAAGAAGATCTTGGGAGGGTCGCGGTATTGGTCTTTGTTGTTGAAGAGGGAGGGAATAGGAGGGTCGTTCGAGAGCATGCCGTTACTTTGCAGCTTGTGGATGGCGATGTCCAGTTTTCTGATATGTCGGTCCAGCAGAACACATGCTTTCTCGCTCAGTTGGATCTTTTCATCTTGCAGCTGTTGCGACTTGTCGAGGTTCTGTATTATGGCTTTGCCATACTGCTCTTCCTTTGGGTTGGGCGTCAAGCTGCCGTTTAAGCGGATGAATTTCTGGAGACTGGTGTCGCGGGAGTTGATGGTGGTGCGGCATTCTTGAATAATCTTGTCCTTGGCCTGGATTTCTTCCATCAGATGGTTGATTTCAGCTGGGAGGTTCGCCACATCGTGGACGAAAAGTTCCAGAACGGCCGCGGGGTCGTCCTGAGCCTGCGACATGTTGCGCGTTCACTGGTCGTTGTTCCCGATATGAATCGGGCCTTGATATGATGCCGCTATCGGGGGGCCTTCGGGGTGCGACCGGATGCGCGTTGAACAAGGTGTAGATTGCGACGCAGCCTGCTGCAGGCTATTCGGTAACTCGGCGCGATGTCGTAACGGATGGAATCGATGATGAGTATGTACAGACTGAGATGGTGGCGCTGAGAAGCATTGATCGGGGATAACGACGGGACGCCGAAGGGAGCGACAGGATTGCCGGATCTAGAATGTTCCGGGCCCGGAGTCTCAGCCACAGTCAACACAGTCAAGCCACAGATTGGCGATCCTAACTGTCAGACCCAAAGATGTGACTCTTGGCTGTCAAAGCTTTTGTAGTAGTAGCTCACTAAAATGTGGAATGGCTTAAGCTACATTTGCATATTCAGAGTACCTGGCGGGTCCTTCATCTCCCTTCTTGTTCATCAAATCAAGCCATTCTCCAGCCACAGTCTCTATGCAAACGGGCGGGGTATTGCTGCCTTACAACTCTGGCGGTAACTGTGTTGCACCGTATATCCAGTGTTTCTGGCGGAAATCATGTCTCTCATAGCTATAATAGCTCTTGATATACACATGTATATTCTGTAATTGACTAAGTTATATCCTAACATTCGATCCCTGTGGACTTCGCATGATGCAGGTGGGATGCAGTCAGTCTAGACCCAGACGGAGGGGTTCCCCGAGGGGTTCCTGCGAGGATGAGGAAATGCGCACAACGCCACCCATGACATCCCATCTCTAAAGTACTTCTTGCATTAACTCCAAAGGGTCCTGTTAAAGTAAACCCTATCAAATTCAGAGATCACAATATAGAGAAAAGATGTGGGCCGGCGATTTGCTGATGACGAAAGCCAGGGTGCAAACAGTGCAAACGGCGTCAGGCAGTCGGTGATTCCCCCGCGCAGAGACGCAATGGGAGATTTCTCTTCTGAGTACTTTCCTCCGAATTCGTCTGCCTACTTGTTCCTTATCTCGCGCCTTTGGTCCTTGTCTTTCGGTCCCTCGCTTGGAATTTCTTTCTGCGCTCTATCCTTTACTCGCGGTGTGGTCCAATCTACCTCGTCATGGCTCAAAATAATACCCCTCCGCTCCCGGAGGGTATTTTCTCGTTGCTTGATACGGATCTGTACAAATTGACGATGCAATGCGCCGTCCTCAAGTACTTCCCAGATGTTTGTAAGACGCCGATATAGCTCTCAAAGCTCTGTGGGCCAGGCTAATCTTTCTCTTGAATGTAGATGTCACATATGGTTTCACAAATCGCACCCCGGATATGAAGTTAACGCGGGGTGCTTACAAATGGCTTCTGGCACAGATGGATGGTATGTAAATCGACTGTGTGTCGGAGATCTGGACTAGTCTGACAAATAGCTTCATCAGCGATCGCGAATATCCGAGTCACGAATGAGGAGATCGAGTTTCTAAAGAAGTGGTGCCCGTACTTCAACAACGCTTACCTGGACTACCTGACCAACCTCAAGCTCAAGCCGTCAGAACAGATCGAAATTCACTTCTCGCCGCAGCAGGATACTGGCAGCGACAATGATCTCGGCAACGTCAACTACGTCGTCAAGGGTCTGTGGGTGGAAACGATCTTGTACGAGATCCCACTGCTGGCTCTGACAAGTCAGGCCTACTTCATGTTCACCGATAAGGACTGGGACTATAGCTGTCAAGAGGACAAGGCTTTCCGGAAAGGATGCGCGTTGTTGGAGAATGGTTGCATATTTTCCGAGTTCGGCTCTCGAAGACGGCGCGACTACCACACCCACGATCTGGTCATGCAGGGATTGATGCAGGCTGCGGAGGAAGGAAAGAAGCAAGGATGGAAGGGAGTGTTTACCGGCACGAGTAACGTCCACTTTGCCATGAAGTACGGTGTGGCGCCTGTGGGCACTGTGGCCCATGAATGGTACATGACCATCGCTGCCATCACGGATGACTACGAGAACGCGAATGAGATGGCCCTGCGCTACTGGCTTGGCTGCTTTGGTGAAGGAGTAAGTCCACGGACCTAGGATCGTCCAGGCCCTAGTAACTAACGCATATCAGGTTCTGGGCGTCGCACTGACCGACACATTCGGCACGCCCGCTTTCCTCGACGCTTTCCGCAAACCCATTCCTGCTTTCACCAGTGCAGGTGTCGGCGCAGTCTCCACCACCGCCTCCGGGCCCGGCACCACGACAGAATCAACAGTACAGAGCGAGGCTACTACCAAACCCCCAATTGCGGCTCCTCTGGTCAACGATGCTCAAGGCGAGCATGCCAACAAGACCTACGCCCAGGTCTACACCGGTGTCCGCCAGGACTCTGGCGACCCCACATACTTTGTGAAGATGGTGCGGGACTTCTACGACAGAGAGGGAGTCAAGGACCCGAAGACCATTGTCTTTTCCGATTCATTAGACATCGAGCACTGCCTTGAATACAAGGTGATCGCCGAAGAAGCCGGCTTCAAGCCTGTCTTCGGTGTCGGAACTTTCTTCACTAGTACGTTAACCCCCATATACCCGTATCATACAGAGACCTACCCGGACATCTCCAGGGAATTATGAACTAACAATATCCTCGCAGATGACTTCACGAACAAATCCGACGGCCAAAAATCCAAGCCGCTCAACATCGTCATCAAGATCGCCACCGCTAACGGCCGCCCAGCCGTTAAGCTGAGCGACAACATGGGCAAGAACACAGGTGACAAGGAGACTGTACAAAGTGTCAAGAAGAAGCTTGGCTACATTGAGCATCAATGGGAAGAGGGCGATGAAAGCAACCGCTGGGCTCGCAAGTAGTGCGAGTCATCGACCAAACATATTTATTTGATCTCATATCTATAGTCAGCTTAAGACGCAAGTCATCTAGAATCAGTCTCAACGATTTTCAGATCGCATATATGGTGGCTAATGTACAGGGCGAGCGACGAGTCTTTATTTTTCTTTTTTCCAAGTCATGTTAAGCATTCATGTTTTATAGTTAGTTATGAGTACTACTGGTACTACCTAGACTATATGAGAAGAGGGTTAGAGAAATGTTCAATGGTTTTCACCTCGTAGTAGTACTACTACTACTACTAATAATGTACCAGCCTTCATTCATAAGTCCTTAATACTAGTAGTGAACTTCAGTCGTAGTATGTAAGACAAAACTGCAATTTATATTTACAGGGCACGTCTATCCGTACGCACACATCACTTCCGCGACTAAGTAAACTATTTATATATATTTACACTGAACTCAAAAACACCCCACCCCACCACACCACACTACATCCAAATAAGTCTACCTAAAACATCTCCTCATCAGACGGAACAAACCCCAAATCCCTATCCAAATCCCCCGTAATATCCCCAGTCACATGACTCATGGACCTCTGGCCCGGCGTACTCACAACATTATGAGTCGGCGCAAACGGCGAGAACAAATCATTGTTATTGGTTAATGCGTCCTCCGGACCAGGACCAGTCCATCTGAGGAGCTCGCTGGCCCAATCTATGTCGAGGTCTGGGGAGGCGTCGGGGTTGGAAGTAGTAGAGGTGGGGTTGAGGTTGGTGGGTGGTTGGGTTTGGGGTGGGAAGTCGGCGGCGAAGGAGTCGAGGTCGAGGTCGAAGTCGAAGGGGAATTGATCGGAGGGTTGGTCGAAGGTGGGGTTTGGTTGGGGGTGGGTTCTTCGGGGGGAGATGGTGGGGTTGTGGTTGTTGTTGGTGGTGTCGTTGAGGAAGTTGGATATGGGGTCGTCGTCGAAGTCGTTGGGTGGGGTAGGTTCGGCTTGTTTGGGGAGGGGGTTGCTGGGATTGTTAATTTTATTGTTGGTGGTGGAGGAGTTGCTGTTGAACATTGGGGGTGGGTTGTTTGTGCTGCTGTGGCGTTTGGGTGGTGTGCGTTGTTGTAGTTGTTGCTTGGTTGGACTGGCTGAATGATGAGGTCCGGGTTGTTTGTGGTTGTTGGTTGGGTCGGGGTCGTCTCGGGGAGGGGTCCAGTGGTTAGAGGTTCGGTCTTCTGCTGACGCTATGGTGTGTGGGTTTGAGATGGTGCTTTGCTTTCGTGCTTGTTCTGGTGACTGGCCTTGGGGTATAGAACCGGAGTTGTTGGTGTATTGCATGATCCGGAGAAAGGTGTTTGCGCTGTCCGACTGTAGCTTAACTGCCGCTTCGATGTTCGCGACCTCCATGTCTGCTGCAGGGTAGATGTCTCTAAGGCCTTGCAGCACTTGGATGCAGCGCTGAAAGTTGTAGATGCTGGATTCTCGGGTGGCGGGATTGCCAGATGAGGAGTTTGCCAGATGGGCCACAGCGGCTGGGATGATGACGGTCACACCGGATTGGGGGAGGAATCGCGTGAGGTTTAGCTGATTGAGACCTTGGATGATATGTGTGATACCGACTGCAGCGTCATGCATCTTTGTTTGCGCAGTTTGAATTAACTCCCTGCGTGCTTTGGACTGATCCTTGTTGGGCGTGAAGGCCCAAGGACGATGCAGCGCGCTGGTGGTCGCATGATATAGCATTCGTACCATGGCACCATGGAGGAGAAGGACGTCTTCTCCATCGTGGAAGTTTGTCCTTGATGCAGGAATGAATTGTGCGTCTTTGGGTAGCGCACTCAACCATGATTCCAACCGCTGACTGCATCGTGCCAACTCCGATTCTGATGCCTGTCGAGGGATTAGGCTGATGGTAGTTCGTGTTGTCACGCCAAACTGACACTGTGATGGGGTATACTGAGCGAACAAAACCCGTCCGATGCACTGGCATAGTTTGGCCTTTTCGATGAACATAGTCGCCAGGCGCTTTTGGTGAGTAACATCTTCCAGCTGACGACAGCGGAACATCTCAATCACGCTAGGGTGGAACGGCTCGAAGTCAAAGTCTTCCAGCTTCAACATGGGGACATTGCTTGTCCCTTCGTTCACCTGGGTCGGGCGTCTTAGCCCCATCGCAATGAGACGGTCTCGCGAGTACAAGCTCCACCAGATTCGGGTCCTCAGCCTCTTAGTTATCGGGTCCATATCGGTCGAAGATGAAGGGTCTCTATTTAATCCGATCGAATGTGCATGTATATTGCAGACACCAATCCAGTCCCAGATATCTCTTTGCGGATTGTTTTGATGGTCAGACCAATAAGTCATAAGTAGTAAAGTCTGCAGTATGACTATTCGATCATCTTCGCAGTCAAGTGAATAGAGGAGCTATATTGACTGGTTAGCTACAGACACGGATGAACTATCAAGCGAGACATACCCTTAATCGCGTAAAGAAAACATTACGGGCAATTTTCCGAGTGGCATACCCAGCGGCTTGCAAATGATGCAGATCGATGAAGGCTGTCGCCACGAACATTACTGCCTGAAACAGCAGGAGACTAATATTACCATTGGGGTCATTTTCCGCGACGCATCGGAGGAATCCCTGTAGATTCAAGACTGGCATGAAGCTATGCACCCATTTGATATAGCATCGCAGAAGCTCATTCCGCAGACCGCTCTCTGGGATCGACAAAGCCTCCCGAAATCGCAAAAATTCTAGGTCTTCCGGCGGTATGCGAGACGGGAGAGGCTTTAAGAAGCGCGGTTCATCGTCAAGAAGAGCAATAAGAGGGTCGAAATCAGGGTCAAGGAGATCCCGCACAGTCGAGACCATATTTTCTAGAGGCAGCGAATTCCGTACCCCCCGATCTCCCAGAGTCCGCCAGCTCCGAGAAGTTCTGGAGTCTTGCAACCAAGGCGCATGAGCATTGTGGCTCAGGCTGTTACTTCTCTTCGCCACGGGTCTATCATCACCCAAGTCCGCACTTGACGGCTTGCGCTTGGCGGTCAACATGCTAGTAAGAAAGCAAAGCCAACGGCATTTGCAGCTGTGCAGGAGATCACATTCAGCATGAGAGGGTCGGAAGTTAGCAGTTGCCTATCGTTGCCGCGCTTGCCGTCCGGGGTTGGTTGGTAATAGACATCCATGGACTGTCTTTCCCCCAGCACTAAAGAAGGCGGTGTTCGGGACCCGGCCGGATGTGGGGACTTTTGCGGGCTTCCCCGCCAATTTGATATGAGAAATGTAGCCGCTTAAATAAACGCTGTTATAGGAGAGAGTTTATTCGCTGATACGCTGGATTGTTGGGTACTTTTTGAGTGGAGTGATATTGATAGTTGGAAGATACTCGCTGTCCAGAACTTTGTCTTAGCGCCCCGGCGGTCATACTGCCATCTTGATGCCTCAGGCAGATGTCCTCTCTGGTGTCGTTCCCTTCAGTGTTCAGACCAAGTACATTCAACAGGGCGACTATAAGTCTTGGCATTACCATTTCATAGCATTGCATTCTGCAGAAAAGAGGAGCCCACCTCACCGGCAAATGATTGCTGAATATAATTGATATATCTGGCTTAAGACTACATTTTTGTTCGACTCCTATCACGAGCAAGTCCGTCATTAGAAGCCATAACTACACATTGGAACCACCGCTACTGACTGTTCAATCGACACTCATGGCCCGATTCACAGATGCTGCCATCTACAAAGGTCCTGAGTTACCTGACCAGCGATGAGATATGAAGAGATAAGACAACTACAGAGCAATAGCCCTGTAAAGCATATGCAATTATGCGGAGGAGAGACCGGGAAATGTTCCGGAGATCATATCTATTCCAACGCCACATAATGTTGATCCTTCACGGACCCGGATGACAAGCCTAGCCACATAACGTTGAAGCCCATATATGCCCATGAAGCACACAGTATAATACACGTATTCATTAGAATCGAATTCAGAGGAAGAAGTAGGAAATTTTGTCCGCGTATCGTGATCGACATCGACAACCCTTGGAGACAGCCGATAATCTCATATCACAGGGACATGCGGACGAACGTGCGAAGATCCGTTTACATACTTCTTCCGTCAGTAATTGTTTTTCAATTGCCGAAATTTATTGCAGTGACCGCGATGGATGGGATCGAGTCTCGACTTACGGAGGAAGGAGGAGCTCGCTGAGGCTGCTGTAGAGGAAAGCGACGCCGGCCTGTAGAAACAATCGTATTAGATCATCCTTGACATTGTACAAACTGTACAGATCTCGCCAGAATTGTAGAACTTACGCCGAAGACCAGAACGCTTCTCACAATGGTAGCATTCTCGGGGTGAGTGACTTCGTCATAGGCAGTGCTGAAGAAGCTCTTCTGCTGACGGCCAGAGACGACACGCTGTCTGGGAACCATTTTGAAGATGTATTGAAGATGTAGGATAGGTGATGTCCTTGAGATAAAAAGGTGTATTGACAGCGAGAATGACGATGGTCGATGGCAGGGTGAGGCCGGGAATGATGAGAACTCCGAGAAATCTTTCGGTCCTTGGCGGCTGCACTTTTAGCTTATCGCGGTTCCCGTATCTTCTTCGGACCTACTGCGCGACCAGTTGATCGAAAAGAGGTCCGCAAGAAGGGATCTATAACAATCAATTCATAGGCGGTATTTCCTTTGCAGAGTCGCCTTTCTCTGCTCTATTGGCCCTTATTTAGATCCGTGTTGGTGGTTGGGTCTGAAGTGCTTTTCCGCTCTGCCTCTCCAGCTGCGCAAGCCGCAACCATGACGAGCATCGATGAGCTCTTCAAGGTAAGTTATCTATGAAGTGACCTGTTATAATAGCGCTGACAAGTTAGAAACCCTCCTCGGCAGCAAGTGCCAAGCGCAAACTAGATTCCGCGAAAGACCCGAGTGCGTTCATCTCCTTCACGTCCAATTTGACTTGACGTCGGCTGACTTGCGACCAAGACGAGCTCTACAAAGCTGCTAAACTAGATGCGGATGGT